CGAGTTTGTATATCGATTTTAATCGTGGAGAAATGGATTTGAACAGCAAAGTTGTTTGAAATTTTGCATTTCTAATGGAATCGCGACAATGGCATCGGTAAAATGTTGCAGAAGTGTGTTGGGGAATCTATTTTATGACAAAAAGTATGCGAGTGTCTTAAAGCATGTAGGGATGCCTCATGTTGTCCCTTGTCCTATATTGTTGAGCGCTTTTGGCCACATACATCTACTCTACCATCTTAGATAATATTTTGGGTATGAAAGGTGTCAATACTAGACTCATGCCAAAAAGAAACAAACACAAAACAAGTGTCTTCGTTCAGACACCGAATTTGCCAGATTTGGTTCCTTGTGAGGTTTTTCCGCTTTCGCTTCGAAAAACTCGCCATGGTTTCAGTGGCTCAATWCATAAAAATCGCTGGACTAGCTTTTCGCGTCGTCAAGAAACAACTACAAAATGTTCACTAATTAACACAAGAAGATTAMATTTTACACGAACATAAARAAATTTGTCAAGAAAGAAATATTTATCGATTCGGTTCAGTATAAATTGACCACACCGRATCAAATATAATCTTGAGTAAAAGATCAGCGTGATAAAAAGTCCGCCTGAACTACTCCTTCGATTTTGAGATATTGACCTCAAATTTAACATATTTTCTCCACAATAAACTGCTTATTTGTCGAAAACGCCGATATCAGACGTACAGATATCGGATATAGATATAATTTTGTTTGAAATYTGCTATGGATTGTTGAGTTTTTTCTTGGTTTCTTATAATATTATGCATATTAAGCAATATTTGATTACTATTATTAATATAAATTATCTATAAATATCAATGTCGTTGACAGTTAGCTAATTACGTAGATTAAAGCGTTAATAGTAARCACTTGTTAAAGGCTTAAGTTTTTCTGTATTTAATGTTATTGCTTACTATTTTTGTTTTTGTTTTTGTTGGACAGTTGTGCGCATATTATTATTTTTTTTTTTTTTTTGCTAAAAATATGTCAATAAGCATGCAAGACATATATTTGTCAACGTATTATATGTATGGAGTCTGTTTTTCTTCTCTTCAAATGCATAATGAATGTAAAAAATGTTCACACTTTATTAGATACAAATCTCAATAGCTAGCAGCACTATTATTTCCATAAATTAATGTCTTCAACGATTGTTCTTTTATTAAGATATCGCTTGCTACTCGACATTTGAACAATTAATTGCTTAGACGTGCTACATGCAAATAGTTGCAAAGCGTTTAAAGCATCTAAGAATAAGGCAGATAATGCGCCACAGTAGCCACATACAAACAGAATCATTTAAATGAACTGTGTTGGCTGATTAAACGATCGTGTAGTTAAATATTCTATTACGATTGCGGCAAATGAAAACAAACAAAGTTATCAATATACATTTTATATATACATATATGTATATTTGTAGCTACGGGCGTGGGCAGCTGTCTTTTTAGTAGCCGCTTGTAAATTTTACGACATCTTTGAGACAGTATATATATATATAAATAGACTGTTGTTTAAAAACAGCAAGAATAAAATCTGCTATTATTGCGTTGTTGTTGTTGGATGTGTAAATAAATTTGTGCGTTGCGACTACAGGTGCAACTAAACTAACATTATTAGATGTTAAGCATATTTTTAATGTCCTCAGTACAAGCAGGGTCATAGGTCATAGTTTAAGTACGCGCATCACATTATGTTAACGCTCATTACATTGAGGGCCATTTTCAAAGTAGAGGGTGAACAACAATTGCTTGACTGTTGCCGGCGTTTACGATGAGCTTCTGAGTAAATAGTTTAGTACGAATTTCATATTTTATTATAGACA